CCTGACCTGGGTCAGTCCTGGTCCTGGACCTGACCTGGGTCAGTCCTGGTCCTGGTCCTGACCGAGGTCAGTCCTGGTCCTGGTCCTGACCTCGGTCAGTCCTGGTCTTGGAAGGAACAGGGACTTTGTCAGCCCTGTTTGGGGGTCAGACTGCAGGGACAGGGTCTGGTCCTGGTCCTGCTTCTGGTCCTGGTCCTGGTCCTGGTTGTAAGTCTGTTTGTGTCTCTGAAGGGGAGGTGCAGTGTCTGAGAGGAGAACTGCTCCGAGAGACGAGCAGGAGAGAAGCGGAGAAGGAGAGGAGCCAGGCTGACCAGGAGGAGCAGCAGGAGCAGCTAAGGAGCCTGCAGGAGGAGCTGCAGGAGCTCAGGAGGAGCCAGGCTGACCAGGAGGAGCAGCAGGAGCAGCTAAGGAGCCTGCAGGAGGAGCTGCAGGAGCTCAGGAGGACAACAACAGAGGAGGAGCAGGCCTGGCAGAGAGAGAGGGAGTCTCTGAGTGAGGAGATGGGCACGAAGGACGGAGAGCTGGAGGTGCTGAGGAGGCGCATCGAGGGACTGTCCATGGAGCTTAAGGAGAGACAAGGAGCAGTGGAGAGACTGAGGGAGGAGGTGCTAGAAGGAGCGTCTCAGATCAGCCTGATGATGGACAGAATGCAGCAAACAGAGGAGGAGAAGAAGAAACTGGAGGAGGTGGTGACGAGGACGGAGGACATGCTGAGAGAGGAGGAGGTGAAGAGGAGGGAGGAGGGCCTCCTCAGGGATGGAGAGACAGAGGCGCTTTGTGAGCAGATCGAGAAATTAGAAGGAGAAAAGGAGGAGACCGAGGAGGAACTGAACAGGAGGGAGGAGGAGATCAGTAGACTGAGAAAAGACATCATCATTTTAAAGGAGGAGGAGAGGAGACAGAAGGAGGAGGTGGAGGATATACAGAAGGAGAACACGAGGGAGGTGGAGCTGCTGAGGCTAAGGTTGAACGTGGCTCAGGAGGAGTGTGAGGAGGTGAAAGAGGAGGTCCGGAGGAGAGATCTCAGCCTGGAGCGACAGATGTCTGCTGTGAGGGAGCGTGAGGAGGAGGTGAAGAGACTGAAGGAGCACCTGAGGCTGGCTGAGGAGCGTGAGGAGCAAGGAGAGAGGGAGTGCCAGGAGATTACCAACAAACTGAAGCAGGAGGTGGCAAAGGAGGCGCAGCTGAAGGCTCTGCTGAGGGAGACTCAGGAGCTCCTCCAGAAGAAGATTAGAGAAGGAGGAGAAAAAGATGAAAGGACCTCCTCTTTGAACAAAGAGCTGCAGGAGGCACGGGCTGACAGTGATGGAGCCAAAAGGAGGTCCAGACAGAGTCAAGAGGCCTGTGAAAGGCTGGAGGAGGAGGTGAAGGAGTGGAAGGGAAAGGAGGAGTTAAGCTCAAAGGAGGCAACAAAACTCAGGAACCTCCTTAAAGACCTACAGGAGGAGGTGCAGAAGCTGACAGCCTCTCTGGAGGAGAAGGAAGAGGAGGTGAGAGAGAAGGAGGCACAGAGAAGAACCGAGGAAGAGAGGAGGAGAAAACAGGAGGAGAAGCTGAGGGAGGTAGAGGAGAAGGAAAAAGGAGGACTGGGAAGAGCCAGGGAGGAGAAGAGGAGGTTAGAAGATAGATTAGAAGAAAGAGAGGAGGAGCTAATGGAGCAAAGGGAGGTGCTGAGGAGGACCCAAGAGCAGAAGAGGAGACTGGAAAACAAACTGCAGGAGTCACAGGAGGAGAAGAAAGAGGACATGGAGGAGCTGATGAGAGAGAGGGAGCAGAGGAGGAGGCTGGAGAAAGAACTGAAGGAACAAAAGGAGGTTCTGAAAACGGAAGAGGAGAAACTAAGGGAGGTTAGAGAGGAGCAAAGGAGGCTTGTGGAGTTGGAAAGGGATCAGCACCTCCTTCAAGAGGAGAGAGAGAGGTCCAGGGCTGGAGAACTTCAGGAGCTGTCTGTAAAGCTGAGGAGGAGGGAACAGGAGGTGACAGCTCTGAAAGAGGAGGTGCTGAGGGAGAAGAACCAGGCGAAGGAGGAGCTGAGGAGAAAAGAATGGGAGGTGACAGCTCTGAGAGAGGAGGTGCAGAAACAAAACAACCAGGCACAGGAGGAGCTGAGGAGAAAAGAACAGGAGGCGACAGCTCTGAGAGAGGAGGTGCAGAAAGAAAAGGACCAGGCACAGGAGGAGTTGAGGAGGAAGGAACAGGAGGTGACAGCTCTGAAAGAGGAGGTGCAGAAACAAAACAACCAGGCACAGGAGGAGCTGAGGAGAAAAGAACAGGAGGTGACAGCTCTGAGAGAGGAGGTGCAGAAACAAAAGAACCTGGCACAGGAGCAGCTGAGGAGAAAAGAACAGGAGGTGACAGCTCTGAGAGAGGAGGTGCAGAAACAAAAGAACCTGGCACAGGAGGAGCTGAGGAGAAAAGAACAGGAGGTGACAGCTCTGAGAGAGGAGGTGCAGAAACAAAAGGACCAGGCACAGGAGGAGCTGAGGAGGAAGGAACAGGAGGTGACAGCTCTAAGAAAGGAGGTGCAGAGGGAGAAGAACCAGGCCCAGGAGGAGCTGAGGAGAAAAGAACGGGAGGTGACAGCTCTGAGAGAGGAGGTGCAGAAACAAAAGGACCAGGCACAGGAGGAGCTGAGGAGAAAAGAACAGGAGGTGACAGCTCTGAAAGAGGAGGTGCAGAAAGAAAAGGACCAGGCACAGGAGGAGCTGAGGAGAAAAGAACAGGAGGCGACAGCTCTGAGAGAGGAGGTGCAGAAACAAAAGGACCAGGCACAGGAGGAGCTGAGGAGAAAAGAACAGGAGGCGACAGCTCTGAGAGAGGAGGTGCAGAGGGAGAAGAACCAGGCACAGGAGGAGCTGAGGAGAAAAAAACAGGAGGTGACAGCGCTGCAAGAGGAGGTGCAGAAACAAAAGGACCAGGCACAGGAGGAGCTGAGGATCAAGGAACAGGAGGTGACAGCTCTGCAAGAGGAGGTGCAGAAACAAAAGGACCAGGCACAGGAGGAGCTGAGGATCAAGGAACAGGAGGTGACAGCTCTAAGAAAGGAGGTGCAGAGGGAGAAGAACCAGGCACAGGAGGAGCTGAGGAGGAAGGAACAGGAGGTGACAGTTCTAAGAGAGGAGGTGCAGAGGGAGAAGGATCAGGTACAAGAAGAACTGAGGAGAAAAGAACAGGAGGTGACAGCTCTGAAAAAGGAGGTGCAGAAAGAAAAGGACCAGGCACAGGAGGAGCTGAGGAGGAAAGAACAGGAGGTGACAGCTCTGAGAGAGGAGGTGCAGAGGGCCAAAGAGGAGGTGATGAGGAGTAAGAGAGAAGCATCTGTACTAAAAGAGAAGCTTGAAAAAGAACAGGAGGAGAAGGAGGTGAAAGCTGGGCTGATGAAGAGTGAGGATGTTCAGGAGGAGTTCACTAAAACAAAGGAGGAGTTGAAAATAATTCCAGAGGAGGTGCAGAGGGAAAAGGAGCAGCTGGAAGAGGGGTTAACAAGGGCAGAGAGGGAAGTAGTGGCTTTCAAAGAGGAGGTGCAGATGGAACGCAGGAGGAGCCAGGCTGAGATCTCTCTACTCTTAGAGGAGGTAAAGAAGGAGCAGAGGGAGAAACTGGACTCACAGGAGGAGGCGAAGAAGAGAAAACAAGACATCACCATCCTTAAGGAGGAGGTAAAGAAGGAGCGCAGGAGGAGGGAGGATGTGCAGGAGGAGCTAAGAGGAGTGCAGCAGAGTGTGGAGGTGATGGAGAAGAGCCTGAGCTCCCTCAGGAGTCAGGTACAGGAGCAGTAAGGTGGGGGGGAGGTGTCAGGAGGAGGTGAAACTTAACAGTTGGGTGTGTTTCAGGTGTTGGATCTGAGCCGCAGCAGGGAGCGAGCACGGCAGGAGGTGAAGGAGAAGGAGGAGGAGAAACAGCAGATGAAGGATGGTCTGAAAGTAGCGCTGGAGGAGATGATGAAGCTGAAGGTCCTCCTGCAGGTGCAGCACCTCCTGCTGGATACAAGCACACGTGAACTGAGGAGGAGTAACATCATGTTTTCACTTTTTGACTCCTCATTTAGGAGAGCCATGCAGAGGGGGAGCATCTGAGGAGCACACTGGAGAAGAACAAAGAGGAGGTGGAGAGGATCAGAAAGGACAACCAGCAGGCGGTCATGGAGGAGGTGGAGAAACGAGGGGAAGTGGAGGAGCTGAAAGCCAGAGTCAAGATCCTGGAGAGGAGGAGGAGCGAGCTGCTTGAGGAGCTGGAGAAGGCTGAGGAGAGGAGCAAGGAGCAGGAGCAGGAGAAGCTTAAAGCCCTCCAAACAGGAAGTCAGATGCTGGCGAGGAAAGTGGAGGAGGTGGAAAAAGAGTGGAGGTCCAGGGTGGAGGAGAAGGATATGGAGTTAGAGGAGGCGAGGAGGGAGGTGCAGGAGAGCCGGACTGAGCTGAACAGGGTCAGAGCTTCATTAGAGGAGCACAAAGTCCAGACCTCCTCACAGGCTGCTGAGAAAAAGGAGGAGCAAAAGAACAGAGATGGACAAAGACAAATAGTCCAGAGAGGAGGAGGAGGAGCAGTGAGTGTTCAGTGGTTCTCCTTACTCCTGGTTCTCCTGAAGGAAGTTTCACACTAACCTTTGTTTCCCTGTAGGAGGAGGAGGAGGAGGAGGAGGAGGAGATGTCTCTGCTGCAGGAGAAAGAAGCTGAGGTACTCTGACTGCTCACTCCCTTTATCTGACCAGAGGACAGTGTGGGACAACCTGTGGCTGGACATGCACACCTGTGTACACCTGTGTACACCTGTGTACACCTGGATGTCCTGATGACCTGAAGACAAATGTCTGTCCACAGGTTGTAGGAGACAGACTGGTGGTCCTGCAGCACCTGGTAGCTGAACTGGAACTGAACCAGAACCGTCTGAACAAGAAAAACAGCCAACTGGAAAACCAGAGAGACAAACTGAAGAGAGACCGAGACGCACTGAGAGACACTCTGAGACAGGTAGAGACACTCTGAGACAGGTAGAGACACTCTGAGACAGGTAGAGACACTCTGAGACAGGTAGAGACACTCTGAGACAGGTAGAGACA